GTGTTTGAGGTGAGCCTTAAAATACATCCACAGGTGTGCCTCCAATTAACTCAACTAACCAATCAGAAGCTTCCAAAGCCATGACATCATCATCTGGACTTTCCTAAATAGTCTGAAGGCATGTTAGTGGACGTGACCTTCTGACTCTGAAGACAGTCGTAAACAATCTAGAGCAGGATCAGCTGATCCTGAGGAGGTTTGCTGGTTGGTCTTTATCTTCACTCGTTAACAGATTTACTGAAACCTTGACTCTCAGGATTAAACTTTTCTTCGGCATCTCAACGTTTCTGGAGCTTCTCGACCTGTTTTTTCTTTAAACCCCGTCCGACGGCAGCGACGTGGAGCTCGTAGGTTTCCACATCATGTCCTCATTCTGTCAGCCGGACTTCAGATTAATGGACGTCTCTGCTCTCGCGGCCTCTCCGGCGCCCGGCGCTGGATGTCAAGTGTAAATGCCAGAGTCGTTCTCCTGCAGCCCACCTGTGTGACAGTAAACGAGCTGCAGATAAATATTTGGCAGTCGGCTGAGATGGCAGATAAGCCCTTCCCCCGCTCCACCGGCCTTTTATGGTGATTTTATGAAGAGATTTAAAGGTAAAAGCTGACATGAGGAGCTTTTTCAGCCTGTGCAGTGACCTGAGCAGGATCCTGCTTTAAGAGTTCGACCTGCTGGATGGTTTTAAACGTTCTGCTCGGCTTCATCCATCTCGCTGCTGTAACACCCACCCGTCGCCTCCACGTCGTGCTTTTTGCTCGTCCGCAGAAGCTAAATGGAAGAAGTTGAAGAAAAGTTGAGGAAAGCTCGTTACTGATGCATTAAAATTCAGTCCAACAATAAAGGCTCCGAATGTGAGGAATAAAGCTGCATCTGCGACGGATTCGGCGACGGAAACGAGCGACTGTCACTAAAACCGGTGAATTCCAGCGAGTCTGAGCATCAATCTTGTGTTTCCTCCCACTGAGCGGCGCCTGAAGCCCCGGCGTGAATACATTTCCATGATATTAGAGACCCAGGACGGCCCCGCGCTTGTTTTCTGTTATTAAAATGTTAAAAATAGACGCGGTGATCACAGGTTTTTAATCCAAAAAAAACAGGAAATGACAAACAGGCCTTAATGGTGTTTTAATTACAGAAGCGACCGTAATTAGAGGAAATCATTTGTGTTTTATCTGCAAATACAAACGTGGAAATAGACTCACACTGGTTCATATTTAGCCTGAAACGGAGCAAAATCCGGATAATTGAGTCGCCGCGCAGAGCAGAGATGGATGATGGGAAACGGACGTGGATCTTTGTTCTGGTTTTTATTGAGAGAAAAATGTAAATGTGAAGCGAAAGCAACCAATCAATGTCAAGGCTGCAGCGTTACACAACACACCGATAATAACTGGAATTATTTCTGCTTCAAAATGCCTCATGATCGTTTTTTATCTCTTAATTTAGTTTATGAACTGTCAGAAGACTAAGAAGTGAAAATGTGTAGAAACTTTTTAGATCTACTGTCTTAGAAGAACCTGAAGGAACCCTGATGATCGAAGAACCTTATTAACGTGTTCACAGTTCAAAAATTAAAGCAATGTTTTAGTATAATAGGAAAAATGATGACGCTAATAACAATAGTTTGCTAAATATAATACATATTTAGCTAAACGATATAAATAGCTAAAATTAAGAAATAGTTCACTAAAAGTAATAAACAGTAAACTAAAAGTAGTGAACTGTTAGCTGAAAGTAATAAATGGTTAGCTAAAATGTATAAATAGTTAACTAAAATTAACAAATAGTTAGCTAAAGGCAATAAATAGTAAGCTAAAAGTAGCAACTGTTAGCTAGAAATAATAAATAGTTGGTTAAAAGTAATAAATAGTTACATAAAGTAAGAAATAGTTAAGTAAAAGTAGTAAACTGTTAGCTAAAAGTGATAAATGTTAGCTAAAAGTGATAAATATCTAAAATTGTGAATAAAAATAAATTATTTGCTAAATTCTGGTTAGCAACTGCTAGCTAATGTAATAAACATTTAGCAGAACGTAATAATTAGCTGCTAAATAATAATAGAGTTAATTAAAAGTAAATGCTAAAATTATGAATAAACAGAAAATATTATCTGAAAAGATGGCTAACACTTTACAGTGAACATTCCCTGAAGCTTTCCTGAATGATGCACAGATTTGTAAATTAAACTGTAAGCTAAACATAACGCGTAAACAGTTGAAGTGAGCTGAAATTTATAATAAACTGTTGATTGTTAGCATAGCTCGCTAAAACTTAAAGTAAACAGTTGAAAGTGTGAACTAAAAGTACGGCTAGCCGTTGAAATTGTTACCTAACTGTAGATAAACAGCTAAAATAGCGAGCTAAGAGTACAGATAAAGAAACTACATTGTGAGCTAAACATAATAAACAATTGGCACGAGCTAAAATTTGCAATATACTGTCGAGATTGTTAGCCAAAGGTGGATAAACGAGTAAAATATCTCGCTAAAGCTGGAATGAACAGTAGAAATCATTAGCTAACGGTGTGGGCTAGCGATTGAAAGCTGAATGTAATGGATGAATACGATCCAAGAATGAAAGCGGGGCTTGTTTTTTCCTTGTTTTTTATTTTTTTAAGTCTTGTAATTGATGGAAATAGCTGTAAAAATCATTTTTTGGGGGATTGGTGGCATTTTTGAGGAGATTGTTTGCATCTTTATCCAGTGAAGGAATTTAAATTGTGTCAAACAGTACCTGAATACACCAGAAATGTTACATATCTGAACCCATAAAGGCCAAAAACTAAACCAATAATCAGTTCAACTAAAACAGGAAAGAAAGTCCTGACGGGATAAATAATCATCAGAATAAACGTAGACGGTGAAACTGGATCCTCAGATTCAGAAGCAGCTTTTATTTTGGTCGTTTGGTTTTCCTTCTGCCTCATCAGAACTTTCAGCTTCATAGCGATGATTCAGGCACTTTGCTGGTACCGATCCAGATCTGGTGGAGGTGAAGCAGGACGTCCTCCATCCTAACCCAGCAGGGTTCCTCCTCTGCAGCTCCAGTAAACCTGTTTCACCACCAGACCGGGCCTCCAGGTCGAGCTCGGCTGACACACTTTGCTCCGTTTGTCCCAGATGTCATCCACCATCTCCATCCTCGTGTTCGCTGCTCTCCTGGGTATACGTGGAAGCCCATATTTCTAGTTCTTCAGACCCAGTTCCTTCCCCTGACTGAAGGCTCCATCCATCGTCGGAGGCTTCGCTAATATTAGCAGCGGAGGGTCGGAGAACTGGAAGGTTCTGTTAGCAGCGGTGGGAGAAGGATTCTGACCCGTTAAAGAACTCCAACATCAGTGAAAACCCAGTTTGGTTCCTCTGACTCATAAATTATCATCATTATGATTATCAGTGAAGCTTCAGCAGCAGGTCACTGCTGAAGCTTCATTAGTAAATATGAACAACTTCCTGTTGGTTTACAGATTTTAAGTCATAATTTATGTGTAACCTGTAAAAACAATAAATAAAAACGTCCACATCAGACATTTGTGTGTTTATTTTGTTTTATTATGTGACTAACATCAGATTGTAAAGATGAATTCAGCTGCTGTGTGTTTGGTTTTTTAAAGGTCAAAATCTGAAAATCAAATGATGAAAATGTCTCTGCTGCAGTTTCACAGTGACATCTCACACAAATACCACAACCAG